AAGCTGTTGAGTGTTGTCTTCACTCAAATTCCCATCACATCTCCCCTTGGGGACAGAGGAAGAAAAGCTCAGTTGGTTTGAAATGAAACAAAGTATCTTGAAAGTGTAATTTTTATTCTGATTGTGCAGTTGGATACATTTTGAGTGCAAATCTTGCAAACAATAATGAAGACACAGTTGCACAGAATCCTTTTTGCAAACATCTGCCACTCTGGGACCAATAATATCTTGCTGTTCCTTTTTATTTTCTGTTTCCCGTGTCTGTTTTTCAAGTACTGGACTAATTTGTGCCAAGAACTCTTTAAAAATTATCTCATTTGAATGAAGAATTCTCATTAATATTTCATGTTATTGTAGCTGTACTGTAGAGTGTTTCTGTACTACTAAAATGGCCCATCTCTGTTTGACTTGTGTAAGCATAGCTCTCCATCCATATTAATTAACAAGTTACAGATACTAACCAAAACACCCACCTGTGAGATCTGAAGGTAGGCATCTAACGATACTATAGGGATGTAAATGCAAGTCTTTCTTCTCTGCTCCCTTCTTAGGTTCTGTGGGGATGAACAATGCACTTGGTACTTGGGCGCGTAGTAAGATTTAGGTGACATTTGACTGAGGTTAAGAAATGAGATCTGTTATCAAATTTCTCATGGGGCATTGGGTTTGCTCTAGGCAGGATGTTTGAGGTTATTGTCTTGTGTTATAGATAGCACACAGAGATAAGGACTTCACAGAGAAGACCACTGTCTTTCAGCTGAGACACTTTTTGGTGGCTAGTTTGTGTGGCCCTGCTCATAAATGGAAGGTTGCTCTGAGTGGATGTTTGTGCTCTGACATTGTGCTGTCCTCTAACAGCCATTTTTGTATGCAGTTTGAATTTGAAAAGGTGAAGAAGGCCATCTGTGGGCTAATGAAAAGATACTTAGGCAACCTGTAACAAACACTGTCATGTACTCAACTTGGCCAATACAACGCTGCGCATGCACCTGGCTTGGGCTTAGCAAATCCCTAAACTCCAAGTTGTGGGCTCTCCTGGTTCACTGATGTGCTCTTTTTGGCTCTGCAGGGAAGCTGTGGTGTCTGCAGTACTGCTCTGATTAAGTCTTTCTGACTGACACACTTCCCTAGGAAGAGCTATGACAGTTCATCGTAGTACAACTGTGAAATGCTTTCTTACCTAACACTGTCCTTTCTCATGGTGTAACTGTCCAAAAATCCATATATATATATTTAGACCACAGTTGCAGAACAGCCTTGCAATGAAATCTGGGGATAATTGCATGTCTGATGCTGTTAGGGTCCTGCAACCCCCTTGGCTGCTCAGTGGTCATATTGCTGTGTGGCTTCACCCTAGTTCTTTGTTGCTCCTTTTTCTGGAGAGTTGTTTTGCACTGGAGAGGGAGTTGGTGTGTGGGTGTTTGAATGCTGCTATTTGCTGTTTTTTAAAGGACTTCTAGCCCTCCCATGGGGTTACTGCAGCAGG